AAAAAAAACGTTATTACCTTGCACAAAAGGTAACGTGCACAAATCATTTCTGTTCTTAGCATCGATTTGAATCAATCTAAATCAACATGCTTGGCTTGCTGCTGCAGTCTGCATACTTCTACATTTCCCCATATGAGGAAACACATGTACCTCAAGGTGAAGTGGAGAAAACAGTAAGAGCCTGCAACACTAAAAAGGATGAGAGCAGAGGAAAGTCTGACTGATGAAAGAGATATTTGTGCCTGATGAGGAAGGCACATTTCCAAAGCGTTCCCTGATGATGGTTAAAAATAAGGTGAGCTGAAATACTTAAAAAACTTAGACTTAAAAACAACTTTTTCCACTGAGACAGTCGCTGTGGATTAAGAAAAAAAAAAGGAAGAAAGGTCAGTCTCACTAGTTTCGTTGGCCTTGAGGTTGAGAAAAGTTATCTCAGGTCTCTCAAACTTTGTTTCATGAGTGGTTACTTAGAACTGAACTGGATAGGACTTATGGCAAACTCTTCACAACTTTCAAGTGAGTAAGAGTTAAGAATGACACTGGCTGACATATGACCTGGCAATAAATATGGAAGAGAGCCTGGAATGACTGGAAGCAACCAGCTGTCAGCCTCAAAGTGATGCGAGATGAGCGACTCAATTCCAGTGTGCACACGGCTTGAATCAAGCCAAAGACTATGTCTGTCTGTTATGCACAGTCTGAGGTGACCACATATTAAATCTCCTCAAAGTTATTAATACAGATACGAGCTCTTTGTCCCTCTGTTTGAAATGCAGTGAATCCCCTCTCCCTCTCTAGTCTGCGCTTATGGACAGGGAGATTTTTGTGTTTCGTACAGTTCAAGTTATTCTGCAGCAGAGTAACAATGGATACAAGTTCTGCTGTATCCTGTGAGGCAACTTATCTACTTACTGAGAGAAAAAAATACAAATGCAAAGCCCAGAGTCTACAGGGGTGGCTCCAAAACTGACCAACACACAGAGAAATGTACTCAAAAGTGTCTCTAAATTTAGTGTTTAAATATTGCTGTTTATTGGACCCCCTGCAGCTTTAGAGAGTATACGCGTGAGATGATTTTACCAAGCAGGTAAAGAAGTACAAAGAGGCGAAATCATCATCAAATCAAATCATTTCTCGCATTGCACAAGTACAGTTACTGAAATCAACTCTTCCACATAACATTTCTACACATGAGATGTGCTGCAGAACGAGCCACGTCTTTCAACTGAAACGTAGAAATGAACGTTCTCGTGAAACGGCTGGAAATGACAGAAACATTTGCGGCCAGTTTCCGAGCGGTCCTTGTAGTGTTCAGCTGTTGTTTCACACCGGACATATTTTGGAAGCGGCACTGCAACCATGGACGAGGTGTCCCAGCGTGTTTTGGAGTATTTGACAGAAGTCGAAGAGGCAGCTGAAGATGTTCTCACCACTAAACAGCAGGTAAGTAAATATTGAGCTGAGGACGTTCACACGGGAGGATCGTTATGTACGTTATAGCGGTATGCTAACGTAGCCAGTGACGTTAGCTGCTAAGCTAGCTAGCTAAGTTGTTAGCTCATGGAAGAAAAACACATTTTTTGTAATATATAT